CATATTTTTATAAATATATATATATTATATAACATTAAAAACGATCCTCTACAAAAAAAATATCAATTTTATTTTTCATTCAATAAACCCTAAAATCGACCTCCAAATTTTTGTTTTTGTTCTAAAATTCGTTCATTATTTTATGCAATCAATAATCTCACACAAATATTTTTTATATATATTCTCATATTCATCACAAAAAAATATTTTTATAAATATATATATTATATAACATTAAAAACAATCGTCACAAAAAAATATCAATTTTATTTTTCATTCAATAAACCCGAAAAACCCGAAAATCCCTAAAAGCCCCGAAATTCCCAAAATTGACCTCCAAATTTTTGTTTTTGTTCTAAAATGCGTTCATTTATTTTATGCAATCAATAATCTCACACAAATATTGTATTATATATATATTGTCATATTCATCACAAAAAACATATTTTATAAATAAATAAATATATATATATATATATATTTATATATATATATATATTATATATAACATTAAAAACAAAAAACCCTAATTCCTAAAATCGAGCTCCAAATGTTTTTTTTGTTGCTCAAAAATCATTCTTTTATTTATTGCAATAAATAATACTAGTCAAATATTGTCTGAAAAAACCTAAAAAAGCTGCAAAATTAAGAAAAAAATTTGGGTTCAGACTTACCTTATCCGCTTCAATCTCAAAATCAAGCCCCAAATCTCTCTATTTCGATGAAATAAGGAGTCTTGAAGTATATGTATCTCTGTGATCTTCAAAATCCCCAACTTTTTATTGAAAAAAACTAAAAAAACAAGCCAAAATTAAAGGAATGGCGGATTTTTCATAAAAAAACTCAAGAACGCATCAAAAATCACCAAAATCGATCTAATCTTAGAGTTTTTTATTCAATATTGATAGATTTATAAAATATTTGAAGGCATAGTACAATAATTGAGCCCAAACAAACAAAAAAAACGGCAGAAAAAAGCATCAAAAAGTTGCAAAAAATGGCGGATCACGAGTTCTGCTCAAATAACGGGCACTATTACAAATAACGGTCGTTATTTGCTGTGCACCGTTATTTCGTTATATCAGGCGATATAACGCCAGACCGGACCGGTTTTTACAGAATCGGCCGGTTTCTCAAAATGTCGTCGATTCAATGCCAAACCGACCGGTTTTTTAGCCGATTTTTTTCAGGACGCTGTGGTTTTTTAGTAGTACACTAAAACCGATCCTAACTGGAATCGCCACCCCATCGGTAGCGAGCTAATCGGCCGGTTCCAGTTCCGACCAGCCGGTTTTTTGAACACTACTTGTTGTACACATCATGCAATTATATGTCATTCATTTTACCCTTAAAAAAAAAGTAGTAATATACCGTCCATTTTAAACATGAAGCTTGTGCTATTTTATGTTTGATTTATCATCACTTTAATTTTAATACAAATGAGGAAAATTAATAGTTTGGTACTTCTGAAGTGCATTGTCCTTTGTTCGAGGCTATGTAACATGGATGTGCATGCCCATGATTCTGAGCATATATCGGCAAGGAGATGAGACACATGAATAGAGAAACTGAAAAACTGTTGCTTACCCTTTTTTTCTGGATTTTGCTTATAATTTACCTAGAAGTTGATTAAATTCCTTATGACTCTCCCTCAATATGGATGTGTCTCTTCAGAATGGCCACTGTGGAGGTTTGCGTTCTGAAAAAGGTGTCAGTGTGTGACATAGAAATACAAGTACCATGTCTTAGTATTCCATTGCTTGTTGGATTTGTATTAATAATTTTACATTAATGTTACAGAGCATTTTAAACTTGTCTGCTAAATTTTGAACTTTTAATTTGTGGTTGGAAATTTATACTTGATACATTCTTATGTTGATTTTCAGGTGGGAATATTTTCACTTGGGGGTGGGGAGGTTCTCATGGTACCTTTTCAGAAGATGGTCACTCATCAGGAGGACAACTGGTAAGCTTCTTACTCAGCCCTCAAATTGCAAAACCAAAGTTAAAAATTTTGGGCAATTGGGAGTATTGATCAGATGGTTACTTAGGTTATTGGATTATATGCCCAGTTAATTATTTGGCATCTTTTGGTATTTTCTCTTTATATTATATTTTCATAAAAATAACATTTATAAAAAATTGTTTGAAAAGATTTTTAGGGTTTGTCTTTTTTTTTTTCTTTGGGATGAAGTTGACTGCAATTATTGTATTAATACAAAGGTGAGTGTCACATGACTACTGATTTATGAACAAAAACACACGACAAATCAGGCCAAACAAGGGGCAGAAAAAAATAAATTTGCAGAAAGTGGCTGCTTGACAGTATGTGGAATATACAAAATTGCTAGTAGAGAGGCATTAAGGTTGTACATAATCGACATGAGACTGAAGTGAGTTTGATTTTTGCCACCTGGAAGAAACAGAGAGACATAAAAAAAGAGCAAGAGAGAGGGCCCTTGATCCCCAAATCAGTATGTTTGAGTTACATCTTCATCATGTGATTCGGTATTACATGACTAATGTTAGGGTTTGTGCAAATGCATAAATTCCATTAACATCTAGTGATATTGTTTGTGAAACAAAATCACAAATACTAATGACAACAATGGTCCTTATACATGACACACTATCATAATTATAGTCTAACACCACCCGCGAATTGTACATCATGCTTAACCATGTACAGTTTGTCTTTGGAGAGTGATGCCATTCACTAGTGAGCCCTTTGGTGAAAATGTGTGCAATCTGATTTTTAGTGCCAATATAATCAATTCGGATCACCTATGTTTCCATCTTCTTGCTCACAATATGACAATCAATGTCTATGTGCGTAGTGCGGTCACGGAGAATACGATTTAGCTGCAATAACCGGTACACTGATTATCACAATAGATGTTGACTATTTTATTTCATAACCAAGTGATACAATCAGTTTTCATCTCCAAGAAATCTCTACCAGAGTGTTTTGCCAATGCTCTATATTCAGCCTCCATGCTTGATCATGCCACAGATTTTTGCTTCTTATTCCTCCAAGGTATCAAATTTGTATCTAAATAATGGAATATCCTGTTATTGACTTTCATGAATCAAGATCTCCTACCCAATCAGCTCCGAAGTAGCCTAAAATGAAAGCAACATGCACATCATCTATGTGATTTTTCAGGAGTCTAATGTCTTGATTAATGGTCCCTTTCACATATTGGATTATGCATTTTAATGCCTTGCTGTGTACATCATTGGATGCATGCATAGGCTGGCATATCTATTTTACTGCAAAGGCGATGTCGGGTTGAGTGAGTTTGAGGTACTGAACTGCCTTCCATGCTTCGGTACTTCTCTGGTTCTTCAAGTAATTTTCCTTCATTCACTCGCAATCTTCTGTTGAGTGCTGATTGAGTGGCTAATGGTTAGTAAGCTCAATTAAGTCAAGTGCATATTTATGTTCGGAGTTCATCCTGAGCGTGATCCACTTCTGTCCCCCAGAAAGTACCGTAATTGTCTGAAGTCTTTCATCTGAAATCTATCATGAAGGAATTTCTTGATGTAGGCGATACGATCTGAAGAACTTCTTGTAATGATGATGTCATTGGAATATAATTACAATATATTTGGTCCTCCTATGGATGAAAAGAGAATGATCCGCTGTTTGTCCTCTTGAATATATGACCTTTAAAACCAAGTTAAGAAGCCTGCTTCAAAAAATCCATAGATGCCAAATTAAGAAGCCTGCTTCAATACATAGATGGATCCCTAACTTACAAACATACTCTGAAGGATCCTTTTCATTGAAACTTGGGGGCTGCTTCATGTATGCGTCTTCTTTTAACTCCACGAAGAAAGGCATTCTTCATGTCAAGTTGGAAAAGAAGCCCATCATATGTTAAAGCAAGGGCTAGAACTACTTGAATAGGCATGATTTTCACAACCAGTCTGGAAGTTTCAACACGATCTAGTCCATGTTGTTGATTGAAACCTTTTGCTACTAATATAGCTTTGAATTGCTTGATACTTCCATCCATCTTGTACTTTATCTTATATATACGCTTGTTGTCCACAACATTCTTTTCAATTGGCCTCTTTCCAATCTCCCACATCTTGTTCAAGAACGTGGCTTTTATTTCTTAAGCCATAACTTCAACCTGTTTCAGGTTCTTCTTCATCCCATGAAAGTTGCTATGGTCATTTAGTTTGAATGCTTCATATATAAGTTCTTGACAACCAGGTGCGAAGCTTTCATAGTTTATCCATCAATGATAGAGTGACGGATATGTGTGGATTGGCAAATGCCTAGATATGTTGCACTATCGTCATTGACTTGGCAGCTTTTCCATGTAAGTGTGCTGTCCTCCAGACTCAATGCCCATATTTCTTGTGTTCATCAACTTGCCAACCAACCGCCCAACCCCCCCCAAAAAAAAAAAACACGGTGTATTTTAATCTTGCTTCTCTTCTATTTGAGAAATTTACACTCATGTCCACCTAAGTAATGTTATTATAAGAATCCCCAATTTTTGTTTTTTACATTCGTACCCCTTTTCTAAATTTTTTATTATTTTTCCCAAAGTCTCCCCACATCGGACCTTCGAGGGCCGAAGTGAATGGTTTTGGAAAGTAGTCGTAAACAATTTCTTTTTCTCTGACTTTGGACCTCCGAAGTCAAGTTTTGTGGACTTTGGATTTTGAAGGTCCAAATTCATGTTGACAGAACTTGGTATCTTGACATTGGATCTTCGAGATCTAAAATTGAGATTTATGTCTTCGCTTCAGATCTTGATGGTCCGAAGTCAAGACTTAGTCTTGACTTGGGAAGGTCTTAAGTAAAGACTTTTAAGTCTTGACTTTGGATCTTGAAGATCTGAAATCAAGAATTTTGGGGTATTTTGAAAAAAAAAAAAAATATGTAAAAAAGATTACTAGCGTTATAGATTAAAATTTTAGGGGAATTCTATGATAACGTAAATCAAAGTATACATGAGCATAATTTTCTCATTCTATTTCAGCCAACTTGCTAGCTATGTTTTCATCATGATGTCTTATTTTTAGTCTATGATATACAATCACCTTCTTAGGTGCAATGTTGGGCTACTCATCGGTTTTGTACCAATGGTCGATTGCCTCTTTGGACACAGCATTAGGATGCTGTGCCCAAAATCTTCACCAATGTGATAAAGCACTCTCATAAATGGTGTTACGCTGATGAGTATTTTAGGAGCACATCCAAACAAGATGGCTCATTCATTTGTTATTATAGATTCTTGAGTGTTTTGAATTGTACCTTTGTTGGAATTTTCTTCTTGAGATAACATGCCCTAGGTGGATTACTCATCCTCCATCAAAAGTAACATACCGTGAAATGAGGGCGCATTTAAGTCTAGAACTATAATAATAGCAGCCCTTATAGCCATCGTCATACCCCCCAAAGATGGACATTTCTGCTTTTTTTTCTTTGACTTTTTTCTATTTGGATACAAGAAGAGGATCCAAAAGATCAAAGAATAGTTTAGTCTACATTGTCACCAGAAAACATATCATAAGGACTTTGGCCATTCGAAACGTCTGTGGGCACGAAACGTCTATGGGCAGCTAGTTTGTGACATAGACTGCGATTTTTAAAACCATCAGTCCATAACTACATTGGTACTCCTCAAACAACAAGGGAAACCTCACCAATATGCCGATATTTTCGTTCTGCCACTCCCTTTTGTGGTGGAGTATGTTGGCACGAAATTTGTTGTCCTATTCTGTTATTCTTTTAGTAGTTCCTACAAGTAAAAGCATGAGATGAGAACTCAACCCCTCCAACACTTTAGGAAAAAGCAGTGGTTTCAAAAATGATTTTCAAGAAATCTTTTGAATTGAAAAATGTTTCAAATACTAAAGATTTTTCTTGGAGGAGTAAATCCAAGTATATCATGAGAAGTCCTCCACAATTATCACATAATATTTTGAGTGAGATGAAGCAAGCGGTGATGGTCCCCATACCTTGGAATGGATTAACTCAAGAGGAGAGGAAGCTCATTTATTAGAATGAGAAAAAGGAAGTTGGTAATGCTTACCCCAATGACAAGCATGACAAATGAATGAAGTTTGACTCTTTGGCAATGAGGGGCTGAACCCTCTTTGTATAATAATTGATTGGCATAGCTAAAATGCCCTAGACAGTGATGGAAAACGTTGACATCAAGTAATGGAATCTTTCTCAATTGATCCTCTAGTACATATAAATGTCATTGTCTATCCCCTCTAGTGAACATGGTCCCCGACAATGGATCCTTCAAGAAAATAAAAGACTGTAAATATGAAATTTGACATTTTTTTCTTAGTTAATGGACAAAAAGAAATGAGGTTCCGCTGGATTTTGGGGGTTGAAAAAGGCATTATCTAGAAGAATTGGACTTGTTGGTAGAATTTACCAGGACATTTTCTACCTGGGTGATAGGAAGTGAGGACTCATCTCCGGTTACTATGGAACCATTATCAGAATAAGAGGGGTAAGAGAGAAGAATTTACCAAGATAAACGGTGACATGGTTCGCTAGCCAACTGTTAACAATCCATAATTGATCGTGAGATGAGGTCAATGACAATATTTTTGGGCAGCAACTGTCACCATTGTTCGAGATCTCCCCCTTGATTGTAGCAGTAGTAGCAATCCACGGCAATGTGGTTTTGGTGACCGCAAATTTGAACCATCACATCATTATTTCCAAAAGTGACATTTTATTGAAAATTTTATTAGCTGAAGGAAGAAGACCACACCCCCCTTGGTTAGGTGGGAGTGAACAACTTCCACCTCTTCTTTCACGGCCTTTATTGCCACAAACATGGCCACAGCCTTCTCTTGCTCCATTTTAAGATGGAGGATTGCTGGTCGTGACTAACACAATCATAAGGTTCGTAATTCTTGGCAGCTTTAGGTGCTAATTTGTTGTAGAAGAGGGTTTCATGTTGAAGTAGCAAAGGATGCAATTCGTATAAAGTCACAAATGGATACTCGGCGGAAACTGAAAAAATCATGTATTCTTTCCTCAAACCAGCAAGTACATAGCATACTTTGTCATTCACTGATTGCTGAATCATGGCCAGCTGATTGCAAAGACCCTTGATCTTGTTAAAAATTTAAAATATTTCATAACCTATCATTTTCTCTTGCTTGCATTGCTGTATTGCAACCTAAAATGCATCACATTCCATAAATCTATAGCAGTGGGCCGTCCAATGAGTTTCTGGTCGGTAGCTACCCATTTTTTATAATTGGGTTTGTAGAAACCACATTCATTATCTGTCCATTATCATCAACATCTTCTTCCGTAACAAGTTTGAAAGGAGGTTTAGAGGATCCATCAAGGTGTCCCAAAAGCCGTTGACCATGGATGAAGGTTTTAATGATGCACTTCCAAATTAAAAATTGGATGACAAGAGAGGTTGATAGATACCCCCTGCCTGTGTCGTCTTAACAACCTTTCCTTTCCATCCAACTATGTAGTCGAGGGAAAGGTGAGAGAGAAACCTATTATCACCGAAGGTGATAATATGGGCTTCTTGGCCCTTATCACCTCTTATAAGGGTCATCATGTGTGCACTCACTATGGTGAGGTCTTCAGCAGCAAAGCCACCTTTAGGCACCCGATTAGGCTTCGGGTCGGGACTGCAAGACTGGTGGATGATAGTTTGTAAGTAAGGAGCCGTATGGCTTATAGCCGAACGACTAGCCTTGGTACTAAGAGGAAGCATATCGTCCGTACCATGAAAGAAGCAGTCGAATCCATTTTCCCTCGACTTGTTCAACAGGTGATAGAAAGGAAGAGCAGTGAACTACTCCCCAGTGGAATCGCAAGCACAAAATACTCAAGGAAACTTCAAACAATCACTTTGATAGGGTATATCCATGTACAAAGCTTTTTATTTGTATCTAGGTCAAGCATTTCCAAAGTATATGTGGCCACCTTGTAACTTACATTCACTCTCTTATGTAATGGAGATGCGGAAAACCTCTATTTAATCGATTGCAGATAAATACAACACAAGATACGTCCTTTGTATGCCAAGGCTCTTCTGTTTCTTCTTACTACTGTGCATATTCTGCACTACCATGTGTGTTTGTCTGTGTATCTCGTTATCTTTCTTTTTGCTTATTTATAACCATCGAACGCTTCTGTTTGACAGTTGTGATTGTGTCCATTAATTGTGGTGTAGCGCGCATAGTGGTCTTCGTGTCTAGTTTTCATAGTGACACGTGGCCTTGCACAATTATTGTTCTTCGAGAGTGTTCATCCAGTCTTTGAACGTGTGTTGTGTCATACCTTATCCACACAATGTTCTAGAAGGGTATACTATTTCAATCATAAGTGACTTGTAGGAAAGGGCTTATATTTCCATTTTGCTCCTTCAGTAAGTATAAAGCTGTTTTCATTTGGAACATGTTCACAGTTCTCTGGACCTCGTGAAAAGGACAATAAAGGGGACAATAAAGGGTATGTTTGTCAATAACAAATCTTGAGATGAGAAAAGGGAATTTTGTTTTTCTATGCACCAGAGCATGGGAGAAATAATGGATAAATTCATCGGAGAGCCTCGTAAAAGGTAAATCAAGGTCAAAAGTACTATTAAATGTTAAAGATGCCGACTAGGGGTTCATTTTAGATGTTATCCATGGCTTTTCAGAAGAATGCCAAAGTATTGAACTGAATTTATGTAGATTCAACACTTAATCTGGATCTTGTCCTTACTGTGAGTGACTTGAGTAGAAAATGGGTTTCTCATGAGTGTACTATGACAAAGTTTAAGTTAGGTCAAAATTAATACCCGAACACTACTATAGCAAAAAGGGAGATAGTGGGTTACCCTGACAAAGGGCCTTTGAGACATGGATGTAACCCTCAGGGTTTGGTGATTAAGACAGAGAAAGATGGCAAATATGCGAACTGGCATCCGGGTTCTCCACGTATGCCCAAACCTCATCAATTGAAGAACATGGTGTAAGACCTGACAGTCCACATGGTCGTGGGCCTGCTCCAAATTCAATTTCAGTACGAGGCCAGTGGACTTCGATTAATGCCTTTAGTGAATGCACTCATGTGCGGTCTTGGTACCTATAACGGACTTCAATTGATGTCTATGGTGAATGAGCTCATGTGCCATGAGGGTACCATCCAGGATTCGGCAATCTTTCAAAATGTGCTCTGATTAGGAGGTATTGCTGAGCCTAAACTCCTTTAATCTTATTAGCCAAGACTTTGGAAATTATCCTGCAAGTGCTGTTTCGGAGCTTACAGGGTGTAAGTCGTTCATTTTTGCAGCCCCCTCCATCTATGGAACCTTGGCAATAAATGTGGCATTTGTCTCTAGAATGCTGATACCAGTGTAGCTATTTTTGCTTAACTCCTATACTTCAGGATCTTTTTGAGTAGAACAGAACCCTGACCTCAGCCTGGTCCAGAGTTGAGATTACCTGTAGAAGGCTCTCCTTATTCACCTGGGACTAGGGAACTGGTGGAAGCTTTACTGTTCTACTTTGGCTTTTTCAGCAGCTGCAGTTTTTTTGTCTAAAACTGGACCACCCCACCTTTGAGAATGGTGAATACCACTCAAGTATGTGGGAGTGTAGCTCATCTTCTTCGATCCACATGGGGAAGAGGAACAGAGAGAGAGAGAGAGAGAGAGAGAGAGAGAGAGGAGGTAGGTAGGCGTCGTACGTAACGTAAAGGTAGGTGGTGGTCGTAGTAAGGAACGGTAGTTAGGTAGGACGACAACCGTAAAGTAGGTACGGACGGACGACTACTTACG